CACCACCACCCTCCACCACCACCACAATCGTCCATACACCACCACCGTACACTACTACCATTAATTTATATAGCAATCTACAGACATTAAAAAACAAACAGTCTTCTTCTTGCAGACCGCAGACCTTCGGTCCACCACTTCTCCTGCAGATGTCTACAGTAGTGGTTCGCAGACTGCAGACCTTTTCCTGCAGAAAAAACAAACACCTCCTTAGAAATATAGTATGATAAAAATTTAGGAATTGGAGATATAATTTGATAAAGAATACTCCTTCCGTTCCACAAAACTCTTCTGGTTTTGACTTTGGAGAAAAATAAGGAAAGTGTAATTTTGGTTGACTTTCCAATTTTGCCCCTGATGTGATGGGAAAAAGTAAGATGTGATAGTTTGGTTATTAGAGAAAAAGTATGATGTGATAGGTAGGGTATGAAAAAATAGGGGTAAAAGTGGTTTTTTAATAGAAAGTGGAAGTGTTTTGTGGAAATCAAAAAAAACGAAAGAGGAAGGGTTTTGTGGAACGGATGGAGTACAATTTAGATCTTGAGAACTTTTTTTGAACAAAATGCACAATTTATTAAACACACAGTCCACTACAAGTACATCCTAGTCATACGTATTCCACATCATTTACTAACAAAAACATCAAATAACCAGCCTTGATCATACATGCTTGTAGTTTATGAGCACTTTCATTTGCTCCTTAATTCATCTGCAACATTCATTGATTGGATTATCTTCTTGAAGCTTTATCAGTCTATTCCTTACTCTACAAACAACATAGCATATACTCCTTCGTTTTATCTTCATAAATACAATATGCCTACTCCTTCGTTTTATCTTCATAAAATCCTCTAGAATTGCGCTATCATTAGTTACTCTCTAATGGTGTTTGATCCAGCTTCCTATTTCCTTCTGAATCTCTTTTGAATATCTGCATTCATAAAACAGATGTTGGTTGTTTTCGGATTCACGCAAATAATTAAAGAGCACAAGATGGGTCAATAGGCATAAACCTACAAATTAAAGCCTAGCTTTTGTTTGTGGAAATTTTGTTTCTCCATCCCAACTAAGAGAAGAATTGGTGTATATATAGGAGTAGTTAGTTTATTCGAAGTCGGTCGATACCTTTGCATCACGTTACCCTCTTCTATTAGCCATTCATAGTCTCTACAAATATGATATTCCTCACTAGTGTCCATTCCATGATATGGTTTTCTACAACTCAGATTTCTTCATGTAAAAACAAAATCCAGCCCGGGGGAGGGGGAGATATTCCAAATAGTGTCCTTGTTTAGATATTTAATATGGATCCATTTGACACATAATATGTCCTTCTTATTAGCAATGTCTCAAATTAGTTTATAGTTACAAATTAAACATAGTTCCACTTGCTCAAGTTCTTGAAACCAGTCCTCCAGCCTTTTTAGATTTGCAAACATCTTCATAAGGAGCTTTATAGTATTTTACTTTTGAGCCTCACAAAAATTCCTGCATATACTTTGTATATTGTGCATAACCTTAACAATCAAATCACCTATCATGTCCCAATTTCTTTTAAAGAAGCCACTATTATATCCGTCCTGAATAAGGAAGAGCCGTTGATCATCAGGATCCAGGCAAGGCCCTGCCTTAACAATATCTTCCTAAATGGGATCAGATTAGTCTAGGAACTAACACAAAGTAAAATTTTAAAGTAATCCATCATCACCTTAGACACTTTGTTTCTCCCCTCAACCTTTTCACCTCTATAGTTATATTTAGAACATGAGAATTGCGTCTAAAGTAAATATAAATACAAAAATAACTTGTTTAGTACAAAATAAATGTGTATTGTCAACAAATTAAAAGTTTTAATTATTTACAAAGACCATTTTCAAAATAATAAAATTGTAAGAATGACTTAAACAACAACTATTTTATAAGAACCAAACATAAAACTCAATTATTTTACAGGGACTAAAAATATATTTAACCTTTAATTAAATAATTTATTATATATTTGTCCAAAATTATTCGTATGATGCTTTTCAGGGATCTGAGCTATAACCAACTTGACGGTTCCATTCCTGATTCTATAGGAAATTGCACACAACTTAACGTTCTGTAAGAACCTAACACTGGTTATTTTAATTTCATTTTTTCATTTAGCTAAATAAATATTATTTCCTCTATCTTAGAGTCCTTGCTTTGATTGTTTGGAAATTTAAGAAAAAAAACATTTTTGTATTGTCTTTCTAAAAATATCATTGATATAATATTTAGATATTTAATTAATAGGTAAAGTTAGAATTAATAAGTGCAAAAGTGATTTGTTAATAGAAAGAAGGAGGGCTAGAGTGAGACACATCAAGAGCAAAATATGAAATGACTTTTCACTTTTTAACTTTTATTATTCTGAACGTCAAGTCAAATCGGAAAAACATCTAAACAGAGAGAATAATTAATTACTTGCTTTCATTCAAAATTATTTTGTGAAGTGTATGCGTGAAGTAACTGTCAAGTGCATAACTAGTTAAGAAGTAACATGACATGGGTAAATTTCACAAATGGTACCTGAACTTTAGCTGGAATTTCGAAGTAGTACCTGAACTTCAAATCCTTTCACAAAAATCCCTGAACTTACACAATCCTTTCACTAATGAGCAATTAGCCCGTTTCTAGGTTAACTTCCGGTCATTAGGGCCAAATTCGAATTTTATATATTTTAAAATTTTCAATTTGACCCCATTTCTTCTTTTCTTTTCTTCCACGCCCCGCCGCCGCCGCCCGCCGGTCAAAGTCGCCGGAAAATGAACTTTTTCCGATTCCGGCGGGACCAATGTCATTTTCTTCGTCTTGAGACGAGGATCAATAATATCCAAACCATTTTGTCTAATTTGACCTGTAACTTCTCGAATCTGAATTTTTCTACTCGAAAAAACCCTAAAATTCGAAATTGGATCCAAAATTGGGGGTTTTGCAAATCTTCATCAAATCTTGCAATTGAGGGTTCTTTGGAGGTCGCCCGGATGCCACGACCGCATTGGAGTTGGTGCCCGCCGTCAATTTCGCCGGATTTAGCCGGAAAACGCTCCCCGGCAACGGCGCCAAAATTTGTTGGGGACTTGTCGTGCGGTCCAAAACAAATTAAAAATTTATAAATTATCCTTAACTAACCCCCAAGATATAATCAAATAAAAACTATAGCTAGGGCAAGTAAGGGTCGATCCCACGGAGAAAATTTGTACTTTTTAAAACCAATTTAGCATGCAAACACATTGTCACAAAAAAATAAAATTAACTACTACACGCATAATAAAACTTACAACTAAATAAATATAAAAACTTATAAATATAACTTAAATAAACAAAGAACTTATAATATAACTTAGTAAAAAAACTTATATAAATATAAACAGAAGGGGGGGGGTTGAATGAAAAATAAATATTTTTGGTTTTTATGTATTTTCTTATTTTTTTGGTTTTTTGATAAAATGGGGGAAAAAACAAGCTCATCAAAAGATAATCAACTTCTCCAACTAAGGTAACCCGGCCACGAAACACCGCCAAGAACCCGAAACAAAATGAAAAGAGAACAAACGCGAGTTGAACATTACACGTATAATAGGCACGTAGACAATATATTACGTAACTTACGCACTTAAGAATAGAAAAAACCAATCAAAAGCCGAGTCAATTCATTTCCTTAACCACGATATGGAGGATTGTCAACTCTCCACACGGCCCGGAGTCATGCAATTCAAAGGCCCATTTTGAAATATACCTTAGAACCCCAACTCACCAATCAAGCATGAAAACATACTTCCACTATAGAAAAA